CTGGCCCTCCCCTCTGAGAAGTCACCCCTTAGGGGAAGGCTGCAGGGACGGTCCATTGAGGCTCAGGCTCCTGTGTCCCACTCTTGTCCACGGTCCGTGGGGTTGGCTTTCCCTGGTCATGTTTGTACGGCTTTTTAGTGTGGCTGAAAATATTAGCTGTCTGATCAAGCCTGAGAATCGTCTGTCTGAACCTCCGTTTCTTTATTGGTACTCTGTTTCTCCATCGTCAGTAATCAGACCGTGTGCGGAAACCTCCGCTGGGACCGTGGTGTTGTCCTTGTCTCCTGTTGGGCTGCTACATCCTTGCTTTATATTTCTAGGCTCTCTCACTTAGTATATATGAGGCTGCTTCAAGAGATTTGCGGAAAAGGTAAAGTCAAAAGGTAATGGGATTTCTCCCTGACCTTTGTGAAGCAGCCTCACACTGGCGGAGCATCTCTGCCATCCTGGTAAATTAAATCCTCTGCCACTGTGGTGACGCCTCTCTCTCTAGGATTAATACTCTTTTTCAGGTTTTCTCCATTTATTTTACATTCACCTTTTCTGTTTCTTATATTTTGGTGTGTCTCTTGTAACTATCATAGAGCTGAACTTAAAATTCAGCCTGATAAAGCTTTGGTTTAACTATTGGTGTTTGTTAGGATGAATGTGCATGTGGACTGGTTTTGTTCTTATTTCTGTATGTTCTTTTTCTTTTTTGTTGCTGTCTGTTTCATACTCCAGATTTTCTGTTCTAATGGTTTACAAACAGACAGACACTCTGCCCAGTCTTTCGCCGATTACCCTCATGTCACCAGCATTCCCTTTGTCCGCTTCCCGAACTCCAGCTGTCAGCGTGCCAGCCGTGACCCTCCTGTTGCCCACAGGAGGCCCTGGCACGCTCCAGCCGGTTTCGTCGCCTTCTCTCTGGCTTTCTCTCTCCTTGTTTAGTTCCATTCTTTTTCACTTCCCCATGCATTAGCGCTGTCACGTTAGACGTAGATGATAGTGCTGTGGCTTGTGGCTATCCCTGCAGGTAGGTCATCCTGTTGTGTGTGTGTGGCTCACTGTCTGCCCTCCAGGCATTCTTTCCCTCTTCCAGAAAGGCTGCTGATGTTCCTCGGTAGTTACTCCTTCTTTTAAGATCCTCTCTGTAACCGTGGTCTTTTCTGGTTCCACATTGCAGTTGGTTGTTATAAGTCCAGCCCCGGGTCTCGAGCAGGTGGCCGTTGTCTCTTGGTCATAGAGGCGTCTCGCAGCCTCTCAGACTTGTCCTTTCCATCCAGCTCTTTCCCGTTGGCTCACTCCCCTTCATCTGTGGCAGCGTGTGTATGATTTCATTAGACTTGCTTTCTAGTTCCCCAGTTCTCTCTTCAGCAGTACCTTTCTGCCGTGTACCTTATCCATTTACTGTGCTGCCTCCCCACATGTGCTTCTGGATCCCGGCAGTCCATTACTGCCGTGCCTCCATCACGCCTGCCAACTCTGCTAATGAGAGGGCTCTCTGCACATGGCTGCTGTATATTGTG